GGAAGATAAATTGAATATAAATTTTCTTATAGAAAATAAGTTTAGTTTTTCCCATGTTGGCTAAAGACTTCCTGACTGAAGTAAATTATTCTGTTGCAGGTTCTTGCAAGCAACATGATATTCCTTGGTGTTGTCGTATTTGTACCCTTTTCATTAGGTCGGGTTGTGCTATATTATGTATCATGGCTTTTCTCTTCTGCTAGTCTTTCTATACTATCAGCAGTTATGCCCATCCCAGTTTCGTTAGCAAACATCACGTTAACTGCAGTTACAAATTTCACATCTGATGACCATGAAAGCAGTCCTATTGGCCAAGTTGCAGGAACGTTGAAAGCAAACTCTTCCGGAAGAAGTGAATTTTCAAGTAACACTAGTATACCTTTGTCAGGGGATGTCTTGAAAGGAGCAACAGTTGGAACTTTGCGGCTTTCTGAGTTTACAACTCTTGCTATTGGATACATGGTTATATTCTCCCTAATCATCTTTTACATTGGGGTTGTTGCTTTGATTCGTTATGTGAGGGGTGAGCCTTTAACAATGGGGAGGTTCCGCGGTATTGTTTCAATACTGGAGGGAATTCCATCCCTCATCAAGCAGTTCTTGGCAGCAATGAGGCATTTGATGACAATGATTAAAGTCGCTTTCCTTCTGGTTATTGAGCTTGGGGTGTTTCCTTTAATGTGTGGATGGTGGCTAGATGTCTGTACTGTTAAGATGTTTGGAAAATCAATGTCTCAGAGATACCAGTTCTTTTCAGTTTCTCCATTAGCAAGCTCATTGGTTCATTGGGTTGTAGGGATTGTGTATATGCTACAAATAAGCATCTTTGTCAGCCTTCTCCGAGGGGTAATTTTTTTTTTTTTTTTGGCCCTTCTAATACATGTTATTTATTTGAAAGTCTACAAATCTTTGTGTTATGCATCTTACAGTCTTTCTAATACTTGCTGTGGGCAGGTCCTGCGTAATGGAGTTCTTTACTTTCTTCGAGATCCGGCTGATCCCAACTACAACCCTTTCCGTGATCTAATCGATGATCCTGTACATAAGCATGCTCGAAGAGTCCTGTTATCTGTTGCTGTTTATGGCAGTCTGATTGTGATGCTGGTATATCTACCCGTAAAACTTGCTATGAGGATGGCACCTTCCATTTTTCCACTAGATATATCGTAAGATGGCAATTTTTGTCTGTCATGTTACTCCTTTTTAGCCTATGTTGTGATGTTGATATATATGTTGTCATGCTGATACATTGATGTATCTGTTTGTTAATATGATGATTTATGATGCAGGGTATCTGATCCATTCACTGAAATTCCTGCTGACATGCTTCTGTTTCAAATATGCATCCCTTTTGCCATTGAGCATTTTAAATTGCGGACAACAATAAAGTCTCTTCTCCATTACTGGTTTACTGCAGTTGGCTGGGCACTTGGGTTAACAGATTTTTTATTGCCCAGACCAGAGGAAAATGGTGGGCAGGAAAATGGAAATGGGGAGTTAGGAAGGCAGGATATACTGCAGGGAGTGCAATTGGGTGGGCAGGATCAGGCCATAGTTGCGCTGGCAGCTGCTGATGATCCAAGTAGAGGTGCCATTGCTTCAGAATCTAATGTTGTGGAGGAGTTCGATGGTGACGAACAAACAGATGCGGAGTAAGTTTAATGATGCTTTAGACTTCAATTTGACAATTGCTTCTTTGTCACTTTGTCACATTATTTCATGATAGGTTCTTCTGAAGTTACCTTATCCATGTATTTTATTTCTATGATATAGGATTTTTTCTTTGCATTTTTTTCTCTGGTTCTTTGCTTTGTCCTAACATTTGCTTTAATGTGGAATGGACACCTCAAACAGATATGTATTGATCAGTGATCCTTATATGTCATAGCAAACTTGTGGAAAAAAAAAACCTAACATACTTCAATTTGATTTGTGTATGGGGAACAAAGAGGTCATCACCCTCCTTTTCAGACTCACAATTGGTTGGCAAGAGTGCTTATTTTGTTATTCTATTGTTAAACATTACAATAGTATTTGTTTTTGTTATAAGAGACTAAACCTTTTCTGTTCAAATTCACTGGAAAATGGGCAATTCCTTTGTCTTGTTTCTTGATTTTCATTGCCTTTTTCTTTCAAGAAATACCAGAATTTAATTTCATTTTCTTGATAACCATGCCATGGAAGATGAGTCTGTGTGAAGCAAGATAATTGCAGAAACAGATACTCTGAATTCATCTTTTCTGTCTTATTCCTGTTTCTCATGGGAGATAGCATTTAAGCCATTAAGGTGACATGTTTTGTACTACTATATTAGTTATTTGGTTATCGATATGGAGAATTATTGTTTGGATTTTCAAGCTTTAGGGAACAGAACAGTTAGTCTGAAACTCTGAATTTAGGTTGCAACCTATTAATCATGACAGCCTTGCTGCGGTGCAACTTTCTGCCACTGAAGTTGTAGTTTGTTGTTCTTCTTCTGCTTTCAATGTGTTTTTTTTTTTCTCCTGAATTGTATGTTTTACTTGGTTTCTGGCTTCAGTGGTTAAAATTTTATTCTTGGATTATTTAGCAGGTACGGGTTTGCACTTCGCATTGTCCTCTTGCTGGTGGTTGCCTGGATGACTTTACTTGTCTTTAACTCTGCCCTGATAGTAGTACCAATCTCCCTTGGGCGGGCACTTTTCAATGCAATTCCTTTTCTCCCAATCACTCATGGCATCAAGTGCAATGGTAATATGACAAACTGATTTCCCTTTCCAGTTGCAATGGTTTTTAACTTTTAATGTCTTTGCTAATTGAATCTTGTTCTACTCCTTCTCTCAGATCTGTATGCTTTCATTATTGGGAGCTATGTCATTTGGACAGCCATGGCTGGGGCTAGATACAGTATTGAGCACATAAGAACAAAGAGGGCTAGGGTTTTGATTAACCAAATTTGGAAGTGGAGTGGCATTGTTTTCAAGAGCTCTGTGCTTTTATCAATATGGGTAAGTTATCCACTGAATAAGATTGTGCTGTCTAATTGGCCTTCTTATTATGCATGGCAACTTTTCTAACCCTTCTGTCTTCATGCCTACTGCTATCTACCAGATTTTTGTAATACCAGTTTTGATCGGACTGCTATTTGAGCTCCTAGTGATTGTGCCAATGCGGGTGCCCGTAGATGAAAGCCCAGTTTTTCTACTGTATCAGGATTGGGCCTTGGGTCTTATTTTTCTCAAGATCTGGACTAGACTGGTGAGTGTCATACCATCTTTCTTAGTGCTAACTTTTTTGGATACTGCCATTTATGTATGCAGTTTTTAGTTGACCAATAGGTGAGGATGCTGGGAAATTTCTTTTCTACCCTTTAGAAATATGTTTTCTACTATTGCTGTGTCTTCTGACATTAGGAGCATCTTTCAGAATGACCTCATGATATCAACATATAGTTTTCCACTTCATCTGTTTACTCAAGATGAATTCTTTAGTTGACAACTTGTCATTCTATGTTCATTTCTTTCTAAACAGGTTATGCTTGATCATATGATGCCACTGGTGGATGAAAGCTGGCGCATAAAATTTGAAAGAGTGAGAGAGGATGGTTTCTCCAGGCTTCAGGGGCTTTGGGTGCTGCGAGAGATAGTGTTCCCAATCATAATGAAGCTGCTGACAGCCCTATGCGTTCCTTATGTCTTAGCCAGAGGGGTATTTCCTGTGTTTGGATACCCATTGGTGGTAAACTCTGCAGTTTACCGATTTGCATGGCTGGGATGTCTATGCCTCAGCATGTTGTGCTTTTGTGCGAAGAGATTCCATGTATGGTTCACTAACCTTCACAATTCCATTCGGGATGACCGATACCTTATCGGTCGCAGACTTCATAACTATGGAGAAAACCCAGAAGAGAAGCAAGATGAGGCAGAGACTTCCCCCTCTTCGCAAATCTCTAATTCACGAGATGGTAATGTAATCCGGCATGACCGAGAAGCTGACCTTGGCTTGAGATTGCGGCGTGCTGCTAACTGAAATGATGTTCAACTAATGAAATATTTCTAGGGAGGAGGTTCTTTAGCTTGCTTTCAACATTGGATTCGGGCATGCTTCTAGAGTCCTTATGCATGCGAGCTTTATCATTAGGTAGTGATCTGCCGATAATGATCGTCTAGTTTTGTGCATATCATACATGTTAATTTGAGATTAGAATGTCAAACATATTATTTGCTTATAAAATGGCCTAGTATGTTCGTTAAGTCTTCATTGCTCCACGTGGTGTGCCATCATGTTTTCAACATTAATACTTCCAAGGCATTTAGTGTCCTTCTTGTGCCTTTCTCGTTCGAGTATGGTGGTGGAGCAAACTTAAACATGCCCTACAAGTTCCATACAAGAGAATTGAAATCCATACCATTGCACACCAATAAATTAAGAACGGATTTCAACGTGTTAAAATGTAATGACCAAAACCCACTCAAGTAAGCCAATACCAATTCCTATTCTAGTCAGAAAACTCAGTTCAAACTCTATAGATGCAACACAACAAAAGCAATTTGTGATCCAAAACTCAGGAGACAAGGTTGTCATTCAGAGACAGCGAGGCCAGTTGATCAGCTGCACCACCGACCTGCTGCTGCTGAGCAACACTCATAAGAACTTCCATTGCCTCTGCTACCTTTGCCTTAAGAGCTTCTGGTGACTCAAGCAAGTGTAAAACCTCAGGCTGATCCATCTCCAGAAGCATCCCAGTTACCTTGGCTGCTGCTTCTGGCTCCAGCTGTTCCACGAGGGGATACAGATTCTCACCCAGCATCTACAGATTTTCATCCATAAACATCAGTTAGTAATTATAGGTGCATGAAAGATGCAGATATTAGGCTTTAAGATCAAGATTAAATGTCTTTCCATCTTGTTTTTGCATATAGAAGGAAGCATATTTGCTTTGATGATGTCAGCTCTTTCTTCTGATCCAGAGAACATGCCCTCATAATAATGATAATGAAGAAAGGAAAAGAATGAGTTAACCCAAGAGATTTAGGTGGTCTGATGGATGCCATCATTAAGCTACCAAGTAATTTCTAATGACAAAGCAGAAAAGAATGCCTACCGTTCTCTGGTGGTCTGGGGCTGCATTTGCAAGTGCTGAAGCCAGAGCGCCAATTGGGATTGGCTGTGATATTGATGCGTCACGCAGGGGCATGCCACCCATGTCATATGGAACAGAAAGCATGCCTCCAGCAACACCAGGCATTGAAACATCAGGCAGGCCACGCCCAGAAGGATAACGATAAACACGTCCTCGAGGAAACATCTGCTATATGCAAACCATTAGAAGAAGAAATTGCAAGTGCAGTATGATAAAATGAAATCAACAACTGAAACCAACCTGCTGTTGTATTAATGGAACTGGTTGCTGATTTTGCTGAACAGCCCCTGCCCTTCTACCACCAGGACGCTGACCCTGCTGGCCCTGCTGCACCATTGGCACAAAGAAGTTTGGCATGGGAGCCCCACCAGGCCTCATACCTGGGACAAGCTGCTGTTGATATCCAAATCCAGGCTGACAGATGAAAAATCCAAGATCAATATAAATCATGACGTCCAGATGTGTAAAAGTACAGATCATGAAGATACATCATATATGACAAATAATGCTTACCTGAGGAGGAATGATAGCAGGGGGTGCTTGACCATAAAAGATTTGTTGCCCAATACCTGGACCACCAGGCGGGTACATTGGCATGCGAGAAGCAACTGGAGGTGCCATTGCCACTGGCCTCATTTGAGAAAATTGGGCCTGCACAAGCATGTTAAAAGAGGATAATACTAGATTCAATATCAAACAACATAGAACACAACAGCCTGACTATGGATTAGCCAAAAGCCACATTGATAAAATGATACGACATTAGATTTTCTTTCATCTCAATTAATATCCCTAAGAACAACATAAATCAACAAAATCAATAATCCTGTGTGAATTACATGAACTTTTGTTTTGCAACAGTTGGAAGGATCAAAGCACATAAATTGAGAGAACCCACCTGTAACCTAGCTCTTCTATCTTCCTTCCGTTGTGCAAGAGCAACATACAGAGGCTTACTCACAACCATTTTGCCATTCATCTCCATGAGCTGTTATGAAAGAAAGAACAATTAGCTTTGGATAAGGTTTATAACATAGAGGCAATCATCATAAACTTACAGCTCTAGATGCTTCTTCAGGGGTTGAAAATGCAACAAACCCTGATCCTTTACTTATTCCACTAGGGTCTCTCATGACCTGTCAGATTAACAAAAAGGCATCACTGGTAAACGTCTAATTCTAATCAAATCACCAATTCAAAAGAAGATGCTAACAAACCTTGCATGATGTTATGGTCCCAAACTGAGAGAAAAGCTCCTTAAGTTTATCATCACCTATGCTATCATCCAAATTCTTTACATACAAGTTTGCCCCTTGATATTTATCAGCAGCATCCTTCATACTCTGCTCAAATCGAAGTTTTAGCTCAACTTCCCTTTCAGATTTCTTTTGAGCTTTCCCAACATACCACTCTTTATCATCAAATTTCTTTCCATTCAGAGACTCAACAGCACTAGCAGCATCATCCGCATCCTCAAAGTTGATAAATCCAAAGCCCTTTGATTTCCCATCAGCATCCCTCATCACTACAGCACTGGTAGTAGTTCCAAATTCACCAAAAATCTTCTGCAGATCCTCATCAGTTGTTGATTCTGAGAGATTCTTTACATAGACGTTATTGAATTTTGTCTTGTTAGTAGCAGTGTCTCTTTCTTGCTTACGAACGAATGGTCCCACATAGACTGGCTTATCATTCAACAGCATGCCATTCAACTGATCTATAGCTTTTTGGGCAGATTCCTCATTGTCATATTGTACAAACCCATAGCCTTTTGATTGGCCAGAAGAGTCTGTAGCTACTTTGCAAGATAGAATGTTGCCAAATGCAGAAAAAGTTTCATGCAAAGCTTTGTGGTCAATTGACTTATCTAAATTCTGCAAAATTCAATGAACAAGAAAAGGTAAACATGAGAATGAACTACCATAACTCATCAAAGAACCATAAGCAATATGGAGCTACATATAAAACTCTTTATCATATAAAATACCTTGATAAAGATATTTCCAGCACCACTTTTGCGTAGACTTGGGTCACGGTGAGAATACATAATTCTGATAGGCCTTCCATTCAGAATAGAGAAATTCAACACATCCAATGCCCTTGCAGCTGTTCAGAAAGAATGAACAGAGATGTAGAGGACCATTGACAACCCAACCCACAAATCAACAAATAACACTCAAGCTAAACACAAATAAGAACAAGTTACAAAAAACATTAATAAACAGCATCTCCATTTCCTATACAGCATACAGAACTATTTTTCATTAAATATAAATATATATATATATATA